CTGGCCAGGAAGCTACCCACATGGCACAGCAGACCTCTCCTGTCTCCCCTCAGCAGCGTATTTCAGTAGATCCGCCTGTTCTGCTCCCCACTCTGTCTCTAGTGAATCCTATCACCCCACCCCCTGCACCTCTGGCCTGCACCCCAGTTCTTGTATGCATAAATAAATAAAATAACTCTTTTTTTTAAAAAAAAAAAGGAACATACAGAGAAGAGGGCATGTGCATTTTAAAGACCTAGGTCTTCAAATCAGTTCTTTGGACTGTCACTGACCTCTCTGACCCAGAAGCAAATAATCTAAGAAACAACAATCTAAGAAACTGTCATTTTAGTGCCATGAGGATTGGGAGAAACTACTAGACAGACAACCACAATGGCAGGTGCAATCACAGTTTTTCTGCAATTACTTCCCACACTTTCCCAACCGCAAGCTGAATCCATATACCAAGAAGTATAAATAAGTGCTCATTCATTAACTCGTTTATTAATGAATGAATGGACAAGTGAATAAAAGCTGCTTTTATTATATTGATTACACAGAAATTTCCAGATCACCCTTAATATCAAAGGTATTATGGGAAGAGGAAGGAAGTTATTTATTAAGCTGGGTGATGTGTCCATCATCCTCCAGACCTCACCTCTCTCATCCTCCCAGGAGCACTGAGAAAGGTGGACCCCAGGCAGATAAGGAAGGAAGTCTGCTTGGCATAATTCCTCAACTGCACACACCACGGGAACGTGACTCTGTCCCGCGACCTCAGCCAGGCACAGCGGAGTCCCTGCACCCAGCCGCACTCACCCACACCTGCTTCGAAGTCTCAATCCCTCCAGCCTCCTCTTACTTTTAAACTTTTAAAAACTCACCTTGATATGCTCTATATTCATTTACAAACTTTCCTTAGGAAACAGTGGTTAAATTAATTCAAGACCTCTATTTTGTGGCATTCAAATCCAATTTTCTAGCCCCGTCCTATCTCTCTATTGGCTTTCTAGAAGCTTCCTTGGATTTTCTTCCCTGTATTCACGCTCATGATGTCAGAGGTGAGCTCAGCACTCACCTCTGGTTTCCCTCCTCTTCACCCCTCCCTGGGCAGGTGGCATCACTGTTCCTGCATCTGACTCTCCTGCTTTCCCTCATTCTCCAGGTCCATCATCTGGTCAAATGCACCCCATCTTTCATTGAATGAAATCTCATGTGGGGACATAGCCTCTCACCGGGGTTACCTCCAGTCGTGTCCCGTTCCCACACACAGCTGTCAGCTAACCTACCGTGTCATTACTTCAACATCTACCACAGGGATCCCAGCCGACCCCAGTGCTGTGGCGCCCACACCACACCCTCCTCTCTGCTCGCTGTGCCTGGGGTTTGCCCAAGGTGATGGCATCTTTTTTCATCTGGAGCTCAGATTCTCCCTTCCTCCAACGAAAAAGAATAATGGTAGTGATGATGGTGATGGTCTAGACCATTCCCTGAGCATTTACTCTGTTCCAGGCATGACATGGTACTACACAAACTTCTCATGGAATCCTACACCCATAAAGCAGAAAGTCACCCCATAACTGCTTCTTTGTCTCCAGATGGGGAAACCAAGGCTTAGAGACATGAAACAGTTGCCTCAAGGCCATTCAGCTTGGGGAGTGGCGATTCGAACCCGGTTCATCCGACCGCGAGGTTGCTGCATCCCTTTAACCCCCATCCTTAGTAACTGACTCACCTGCAAACTCTCATGCCCACCTATCATGAACACCTAAGTCACCCACACCTGCTTTTCATTATTGTCTCGTGCCTGCTGCTTTAACATCTGCTTGGGGTGATGTCTTCTAGGAAGCTTTTTGAGGTCAGGGACATCTTAATTGCCACCCCAGCCCCTGGGCCACACCTTGCACAGTATATATTCTAAACATACACTCCTGGGATGCCCTGGTCACTGAGACTTCTGTAGTTGAAATTACTCAACACACCTCTCGCGCCTTTCTAACACTGGCATGTAATTCTACAGCGATGCCACCAGGTGGCACTGCAGCATCACTTAACCCGTGCACCCAGCTTGCTGGCCTGGAGGAGATGCTGGGCAGCGAGGGGCAGGTGGGCAGCGGGGCCCATTGGTCACAAATGCGCGGATATTGCCGCCCCGCCGCTGGGATTATTAATTGGCTTCGGGGCCTAAATCACAGGCGTGAACCCTCCCAGCCCCCCAACGCCTGCTGAGACATCCTTCCACCAGCGCCTGTCGAAGAAACTCCACATCTGAAAATTCACTCTTGTAGGTTTTCCCACTTATCATTTAAAATCAAGGCTGATTTTTACTTTATTATAATTAGTCTTGTTCCTGGTCCCTTATTTAGGTTTTCTGAATTCCTGCTATGAGTGAGACCATCTGGTATTTTTCTTTTTCTTTCTGGCTTATTTCGCTGAGCATGATCCCTTCCAGCTCCATCCATGTTGCTGCAAATTGCATGAGTTTATCTTTTTTGATGGCTGAGTAATATTTCAATGAACAAGCAACTATCAATCAGAGACACACTGGGGGTGGTGGGGAGAAGTGATTAGGGTCAAAATGAGGGGGGTGGGAAATTGTATGGGGAATATAACCAAGATGAAAATGCATACATTGTGCAAAAATGAAAAATGATGTAAAAATATATAAAATAAAATAAAATAAAACAAAACAAGGCTGATATTCCTGACAGGGAACCCGTGACCAACCAAGCCAGCGCTGCAAACTAGCAGCAGACAAGGTGCGTTCTTAGGGAAATTTGCTCAACTCTCAGGCACTATGTTTTGTTTTTTAATTCCAAATTCTGAGGCGTTTACTCAACCAGTGAGTGGTCGGGCTCCCACAATCCCAAGGCCAAGGGTTCCACCAGCCCCCAGGTCACCTGCTGTCCCCTGAGTGTATCACCCCAGGTGGCTGCACTCGTGGAGGAGTTTTCCAATGAGGACAAAAATGAGTGAGGGGGTCAGTTCTCAGGGGAGAAAGGTGACCCCAAAAATCTCAGTTGTCCTTGGAACTTACTTATGTCAAGATATGACCTCGTTGATTTATGTGAACTTTGGGGTGTGAAAAGATGGCCCTGAGCCAGAGACGGTGGATGAGAAGACAGCAGGGAGAGATAAGGACAGAGTTCTAGAACGGTGTGGGCAAATATGACCATATGAGAAATGTTAACAAAGATGGGAACTTCCCAAGTAAATTCCAGTTTTATCATGGAAGGCGGGCTCCTGGGAGCAAGGCGGGTCCGTGAACGAGACTGCAGGAAATGCTTGCACATTTTTTTAGTGATTTGAAAATCCCAGAGGGAAACTGATTTGCTGATGTGTGAGTATCCGCTCTCAAACCACATAACAGGCAGTGTTTGAGCTTTAAGTCCTTTGACCTCTTTGTGTTTATAAAAGTCACAAAACTAAAGCTCTGCGGGCTCACATGCGGCTAGTTTCCCTGGATGGTATTTGATATTCCTATCATGTACTTTATTCTCATTTAAACCAGAGCCCACACCCAGGGGTTTCATCAAAGCAACCACCCCCCCGTCCTTTAGTGGGTTCGAGCCCTTCCTGCCACTCTGTTAGACTGATTTTTGAATTGAGCCAACGACTTCTGTCTTAAGCTCAAAAGACTGTAAAATTTAGATTCACTGATTTGTTTTCTCTTTCATCTGTACACTCTTGGTGTGTTTATATTAACCACCTCACCCCGCAGCCGGCCTGTCCTCTCGCCTCCCCCCATCACATGTAACCTGTCCATCACATGGGAAAGGCTGAAGTGCTTCTTAAAATGCTAGTTTTTAGTGCCCCAACTTAGTCTCCTTGCAACATTGTTGTGAAATTATATCACAAAAGTGGCTGGAAAAAGTTGAAGGTAAACTCTGGTCACCAACTTGTAATGGCGTGAGGAAGAAACAAAGTGAGGCAGAGGGGACTTGTCTAAAGTATGCTTGGGCCGGTGGCTGCTTCTCAGGTGCAGCTGGCAACGGAGACCACACAGCTCGCACACCTACTATGTGCAAGGAATAGGGAAGAGATGTGCAGGGGAATAGGTGGCCCCTGCTTGTGGAGAGGTGGCACTTCATGTCGCTGTGGACTCTTACAGATTGGGGCACATCAGAGCCCTTTGGGATCGGGCACATCAGAGACCTTTCTGCAGCAGGCAAGTCACAAGACTAATGTCCTAAAAGACATTGGGTGATTTGCTGATTCCCAGACTGTCTCTGAGACTACCCAGCAGTCTGACACTTGGGATTGCTTATCAGGATGCAAAAAACGTTGTCAAAGGTGTAAACATTGATGATGTGGTTGGGGAGAGGATGTCCTGAACAGACTCCACAAACTCAGGTTTTATGGACCCCACCACCACCCCAGGCCAAACAGAGCCAAGACGCCAAGGACTACAAATCCCATGATGCCATCACCACCGGAGGGAGGATGCTAGGAGCTGAGGGTGGGATCAAGCAGCCAGCTTTTCTGTATAACCAGACAGGTGGGCCTGGGGGGTCTCCTGGTTTCTCTCCGGCTTTCAGTGTGCTGTTGGGGTCCCAGCTCGGCAGAACTGGTAGGACGCATTCACCAATTTCTTTCTATTTCTCCCTGAGTTAATCCTATATTCATTTTTCCCTTTTTGTAAATAAACCCTTTATTAACCTTTTTGTGTGCCTGCAGTTGCATCTCCTACTTTTTTTTTTTTAAGCTCGTGAGTGAGGCCCCGCACTCAGGCCAACCCATTTCACACTGGGGTTGCCTGTAACAATGACAACAAAACATGTTAAGAATCTGGGACCACTTAATGGTGAGTATTCATAATGGCTCAAAATTCAATATGTCCTCCATAGTGATTTTTAAAAATTTATTGTTGTAAGACCATCTAACAATTTCAAGTGATCGATTCACATCGCTGACTACAGCCAGTGTTGCCCAGAGGCTCTCCGGCTTATTCATCTTGCTTAAATGACATTTTATATTTTCCCTCCCCTGCTCAGTCTTCATGTTGATTTTCCATCACTTACCCAAGACCCTTTTTCAGGAAAGCAGTGGCAAATGGAGCAATCTCTTCCTCCACAAGGGCCAATGAACTTCTTTCCACTCTAGAAAGTAAAACATCTGATTGAGTGTTTTGGAATTCATCTCTTCGCGAGCTGCATGACATGCACCGCGAAACAAGTGCTCTTGGTTGCTCTAACTCAAGAGAATTCCGTTTTACACCTTTACATTGAATCTGTGAAAGGAAAAGACTCTTCCTGATACATTTAAAAGGCAAACAACTTCCACCGAGGCTTGATAGTAAAAGGATTGATGATCCTGTGAACAGAATCATCTTAACTGAGCTTGGATTTTAAAAAGTTTCCTTGTAAGCCACTTTGCTTGAATCAGAATCATCTGCAACTTTTCAGTCTTGATAAGAATTAGTTATTAAGTTGTGAACAACTTACTGTAGTCACGAAAGCTCTAAGCACATAATGAAGTCTAATTTAAATTATAAGTTTGGCTTTAGGACCTTCTTGCTTTTCCGCCAAGGTGGGGGGGGGGCGTGTCTCCCTCCCTGAGCCCCTGCTGGGTCAGTGCTCAGCACACAGCATTGGACTTTCAGTTAAAAGTGTTCTTTCTAGATGGTGTTGCTAATGTGTCTCTTAGAGAACCTCTGAATTTAAATTATTTGAGCCCTTTTCCCATTTTTAGCAACTTTTCTTTAAGATTTATTTATGCATAGAAAAAATGGGGTATAGGCCAGAGGTGTGGAGGTGAGAGGATTCACCAGAGACAGAGTGGGGTGCAGAACAGACAGATCCACTGAAATACACCGCTGAGGGGAGCAGTGGGCGAGATAGGAGTGGTCAGCTGCGCCATGTGGGTAGGTCCCTGGCCCTGACTGAACTCAGGTCACAGTAGTGATAGCGCTGAGATCCCTAGGCCACAAGGGAGGCCCTTCTCTTTAGAGCTACTCCAACATCAGGTATTTTCCTCACTGTAATGCTTTCTACAGACACAGTATGTGCATACCCTCTGGGAGGACTCAGCCCTGGTTCTCACAGATCCTTATTCTCTACACCCAGAGCGACCATTTACTTCCATACAAAGGTATAGTCACAGAGCAGGTGTTTCCATGTCAATGACAAAGTGGCATCGTGATGAGGGAGGGGGGAATAAGAGAGAGGAGCAGGGAGAATAGGAGGAAGAGAAGGGAAGGAGGGGGCAAAAGTCATCTTGGTTGTTGGGAGCTGAGGGCTTGGACAAGAATACAAGGAAAGCTCTGGGGTCATCTTGGGGTGGTTCATGATTTGCCTGCTCCAGCCCTCATGATGCATTTGTATATTAACTGCCCATTTCTGTAATTCTAGATCTTTCCAAATTGACTTAAGGCTTTACCTGAAACATTCAGACCAATGTATAATGGTGAAAAATAAAACAGTTGAACCAATATTTATAGTTATATGGAAGACATATATTCATATACATGCATGTGTAGCTATCTACATGACTATGTGTATGAATATACATACATGTGTAATTCATATGTACATGTGATGGGAGGAAAAGGAGTCCAGCCAGTGTATATTTTTCTTTTCAGTCACACAGTTTAGACATCTTTTTTTTTGGTGGGGGGAATATGCTCAGACATAATCCAAAAGAAAATAATCATTAAAGTAAATATTAATGAACAAACGTCTTTATAAATGAAACTCATATGGAGCCCTGAAAGCATGTAAGCATTTGAGCCAAGCAATTTGATTATTTGTTTAACAATGTATTTGAAATTTCAGAAATATATGCCCGTTGAGCTTTGAGTTTGTTTATGAATGCAAAAACATTAAGTTCATAACCCTGATAAGGTTAAAAAAAAAAAAAGCACCAAACAGCCAGGGGCCAGGTCCGGACAGAGTGAAAGCACTTAAAATAACTAATCTGAACTTAGGTTCATTTAAGGTTGGGATTCATTACTATGTGTTCAGTGAAATATCAAAACAACCAAAGAAAATAGGAGATCAGCTGATTAAATGGCTTGATAATAAGGAAGTTCGTTATTTCACTGTTGTTTTTTTTTTTTTAATTGTGCCAAGCATCAATTGAGAATATTAGTTTCAGGAGATTTTCCCAAAATTACATTTCAGGGAAGAATTAGTTCAAAATAGATTAACAGATTCTAATAAAGAAACAAAAATAGTCACATATAAAGCTTTGACTGGTACAAAAGAAAAAGCAAGAAGTGGTTTTAGTTTTTACAAAGATCTTCTACATTAGCTACATCTCGTTATAAGAGGGGAAGATATTTACAAATGAAGAAACAACACCTCAAATAGAAATCATAGAAACCCATTAAAAAATAAAGACAATGTCTCAGTCAACATTCAAATTTTAAGCCATATGCACTGGAAAGACATGGCCATTCTCATAAACAACTGCTGCTTTTCAAAGAGAAAAATGGAAAAGACCCTACTTTTTGTCTCAGATATTTTTTAACACCTGTTTGTAGAAAGTGCAAGATAATAAGATACTAATTAGCAGATTAAGCATCTGTCCTACATTTTGCCATGCCCGAGTTCAACCCCTGGCCAGGGAGGTGACCCACAGGGCACAGCAGACCTCGCCTGTCTTGCCCGCTGCTCCCCTCAGCAGTGGATTTCAGTAGATCCTCCTGTTCTGCTCCCCACTTTGTCTCAGATGAATCTTCTCACCCCCTGCACCTCTGGCCTGCACCCCAGGTCTTATATATATAAATAAAAAAATCACAAATTTCCATTTAAAAAAATAATCTGTCCTACATTTGTACTTCTATTTTCTTCTTTGAAAAAACAAATCACATAAACACATGATAAAAAAATTCCAAATAGTGCAATAATGGGAATATACACATTTCTTCCCGAGAGAAACAACTACTCTCCTCAAGTAGGTGCCTGGGCATATGTGAGCGTATTTAAGGTGAGATCTCACAAAGACACATCCTTAGGCTTTTGGAGATTTGAACCTTGTTTTATTTTTTATCCCAACGGCATATGTCTCCATACCTGGCTGTTTTCACTTACTCATATGTCTTCATAATCCATCACAGCACTAAAACCTATTTAAATTGATTCTTGTGGATGGACAATTAACTGTCTCCCTTTTATACACCTAAATACTACCCTGCAACTATTGCTAATATTCTTATACATTTGTCTTTACTCATAAGTCAGAATAAATGGTGTGATAAATTCCAAAATGGAAAATTCCCTTATCAATGGGTATGTGCGTTTAAAATCCTACTGGATAACGCCAATTGCCTTTCATAGATTTTGCCTCAATTTATATCCCTGCTTTTTAAAACACAGCTAAAGTCTAGCCACTCTTTGCATGAAATTGCTAAACTCTCTCACTACCATGAGCCAATGAGAACATTCCTTGGTTCAGGATTTATATTCAGCCATGTGGTACCATTCTTATATTCACTTGTAAGCAACAAAGAAATGAAACTTAGGACTCTGTAGGCTTTTATAAGAGAAAAAAATATATGATACAAAAATAAATGTAGAAATATATACATATATATATATATATATGTATATATTTCAGTGTGTTTTCAGTCATTTTTCCAGGTGATGCTGTCAAATGCATGTGAACTAAACTGGGCAAGTCTTATCATCCCTACTTCAGGCGGGAGAAAACCAAGTCTTGGTCTTGGGTAGGTTAAGGGAGGAATCACTTGCAGAAACAAAGACAAGGGCTCTTCATTCCTTGACTACTGTGCTTTCTACTCCTACAGAGAAAAAGGAGAGTGAAGGCAACTTTCTGTTTTTACCTGCTTTGGAAAGACCTATGATAACTTGAATTGCAGGGATTAGATTGGGTGGATTAAAGCTCAAGCGACAGGTTCACTAAATAGAGATGGATAAAGATCGATAGAGACATGTTCACTAGAAGGATTTTTACCCTTGTCCGGTTGTCTCAAGGTCAACCTGACTGACAGGTGTGATTTCCCAGAAATGTCTGAGGCTGGGTTTAGAAACTAAGAATCTTTTGTGAGGAAGCAGAAGAAGTAAGACATTTACGAAATGTCCCAGGTTTATCTTTCTCCAGAGTTAACATATCCAAATTTAATCTTATACCTGTGAATTTAATCTTGAAATGGCCCAGCTGCCTCCAGACCCCTCTAGCTATTTTTAATGAAAGTGTTAGTTATAAAATAAATAAATATACCTAAGCAATTGTAAAGTAATTTTGACTGGTGAATGTAAAAGAAACTTCAGAATTTTCATCTGATCCAACCCATCATTTTACAAATGAGAAAAACCAAGTTTAACAACAGAAAGTCAGTTGTTTAAAGTCTAATAAAGATAATACACTCAATAAAGTGAATTTTCAACATGTAATCAGAGCTAATTAAAGCACTTACCCCACATACTTGTTGTATAGAGAAGAGAATAACTATAAATGACCTATGAAAAAGCAAAAATGCAAGTTAATTTAAATGCACATTTTCATACAAAGCAAACTAATAAGAGAAAGAACAAGGAAATTAATTCTAGAAAGTTCATTTCATTTCTAATAGGCTGCTGTCACCAGCTGATTGCCACAGTGACAAGATAAATGCATACCCTCTTCAACTGTCATCTGCAGCATCGACCCCCCTGTGTGTCATGAGCACACTCACAGGCTGCAGGGAGCGTGATGTGGTGGGACACGCCCTTGGGGCCACTGTCCTACCATGGCTCTCATGAAGCGAGCCTTCCTGAATGCTGGCTCTGGGGAACCTATGGCCCTGGGCCTAGAGCCAGATCTTCACTATTGGAAACCAGTGAGTAACACAGCAAGGAGCAGGGGCCTTTAGATGTACAATTTCCATTTGTTGATTATATGTGTGTAATTTGAGGATACTAATGAGGATTTGCATTTAAAAGTAAAAATGAGCCATAATATGACAGGCACTGATTTCTGGAATAATTTGGCTTTTTGACACATGAAGCATTCAGGTAACTTACGGCTATAGAAGCAGTATTAGTGAAAGCAGGTGATCACACCGAAGGGACTTACCAGATAGCGACAGCCGGGGGCCTGGCCCACACGAGCCAGAGTCTTGTTAGGGTCATGCGTGTGGCTACTTCCAAGGCAAGTCTTGGCACTGAAAAGCCAATCAATTTTCTCTTCTTTTCCAGAAGAGTCTCATTTATAGAAGCTTCTATGTCCTGGTCTTATGGTCTGTATAGCTTAAACAGAAATGCATCTCTTAAAAGACTATGCATTATGATGTATAAAATTATTACTTTCTTTATTCATAGTTAGGATGAAAATGTTTCCAAGATGGGGACTTCAGTTTTGTTTGTTTGACATATACTCTTTCTTTAGTGAAGGCTAAATAGAATAAATACCAATTTTTATTCTTAGAAATAAAAATATTACCCAATTCTTTACATGTCATACATACATTTTGAAAAAATGGAAAGATAGACGTATGCAATGCTTGGCTAAAACTCTGGCCTACACCCCAGTTCTTCTATGTGAAAAAAGAGAAAAAAACAACCATTGCTTCATTTTACTAAGTGGAATTTTCTTATATTTGTAATCATTTCCCTTGAAATCCAGTTTGAAATTCACTCTTTATTCATTGAAACTAGGGCAGGAACACCCTAGGATAGAAATACACATTCTGTGCATACAGCAAATGCATATAAATATTTTTGTATAAAATAGTATAACTGCTGTGGAAAACTGATTTTGGCAGTTCTTCCAAAAGTTAACCAGAGCATTTCCATCTCTCAGCAATTCTATTCCTAGAGAACTGATAATATGTTTACACATATACCTGCACATGGATATTCATAGCATCATTGTTCATAATAGTCAAAAAGTAGAGATAAACCAATTTCACCAACTGAATGATAAGCCACATGTGCTGTCCCCATACAATAGAGGGCTCTACCACCATAAATAGTAATGAAGTACTGATGTGGAAAAACCTCGAAAATATTATGCTATGTCAAAGAAATCACCTACAGTATGATTTCATCCATGTACATGAAGTGTCCAGAATAGGCAAATCCACAGAGACAGAAAGTAGTAATTGTCAAGATTGGAGATAAGGAGAATTGCTAGGTAGTGGGTTTCATTTAGGGGTGATGGAAATATTCTGTTAGATAACGGTGATGGCTGAACAACATTATGAGAATACTAAAAACCACTCAATTATACACTCTAAAAGAGTTAAATTGGTGAATGTTATTTTGTGAATTTAATCTCAATAAAAATAGAAATATGTTTTGACACAAAGAATTCTATACTTGGGTAAAAGATTTCTTTGGCTCAAAGAATTGAAATGTCTCATCTTCAAACTTCTGGCTTCACTGAATATGTGTACCTATGAGAATCAGGTAGAAAAAAGGTAACTGGAACTATTGAATGTTACCAGCTATTTTTAAATTTCTGGATAAAATCTAGATAAACCAACTCAATGCTCTATTTATGGGAGATTAGTTTTCTAAGCAAGTAGTAGAGCAACATTCCATGACACAGCCTCAAAATCAAGTAGGAAAAGAATCACCTTAAGTGCCTAGATCTTTTCTTATCCTTAAATCTATCATTTCAAGTACTTTTTCAGTTGCATTCTAGAGGTAAGTATCAATAGAACAGATTATTGTTTTGAAAGGAATATACAAATCAACTTGAACCATTCCAAATATATTTGATATTCAAAACATAGGAAATGGTCCAAATTAACAAAAACCAGAGATATTTGCATTTTAATTCAATAAGACACATGATGATCTCCACACAAATTGTGATAAAAGATAGACAAAGGAGTTTTATTAAAATAGAATGTGGTCATCTTTTAGAGGAAGACTATCTGGTCATGGTCCTAATATCTAGGAGTTTCTCAGTACATTTTAATTGGGATTGGATGGATGGATGGATGAATGGATGGATGGATGGAGGATGGATGGATGGATGGATGGATGGATGGATGGATGGAAGAATGGATTATGGGTGGATGAATGGATGGATGGATGATGGATGGATGGATGGATGGATGGATGGATGGATGGATGGATGATGGATGGATGGAAGGATAGATGGATGGATAGATGATGGATGGATGGATGGATGATGGATGTTTGGATGGATGGATGGATGGATGGATGATGGATGGATGGGCCATTCTGCAGAAAGCTAGCTAGTTTCCCATTAATTTCTGGAATGGCCAATGTGAAAGGATTAATAGGGAAAGGACACAGCTCTACTGGGAATAGACTGGGCATCCTCATTGCCTTGCACTTGGTTAACACATAAGATCTATGACAGTCAGGGCGTGTCTTTTTTTTATTCACGGATTTATCCCCAATTACACCCATTTTAGTAAGTGCTCAATATATAGTTGTTGGATGAATGAACTTATAGAAGGTACTTTGACACCTTTGTAATGTGAATAAAACATTTAATGGGGGACAGACTATGAGGATAATTTTCAATATACATGAGGGATTGGAGAAATGGAGAAAGTGGGGAGTGGAGGGGGAACTCAAAACATCTGGGGGGGAGAGGAAATGGATATTATTTGTAGGGCCCTCTGTTGAGAGTGTTACCCATCTCAAGTAAGTTGTTTTCACCTCAGTTTAGGAAGGAAAATATTATTTTCACTAGACAGGAAAAGCAAACTGATCAGTTTGAGTGATTTGTGTAAAGTTGCAAAGCTAATAAATGGCAGAACTAGGATTTGTTTGTTTTTTTACTCTAATATAGCTCATTGATTTAGGGCGATTGCCTACCTAGGAAACTTCAGCAAAAGTCCTGTTCCTTTCAAGGACATGATTTATTTTGCCTATTGCTATTCTCAAGTGGGAGTATTCTCTACAGACCCCTCCATCAGAGCCCATTAGGGTCCTACCTTCAATCCAGTTAGTGAAGGTGCAGCCAGGTTTTCATCATCCAATCCTGTCTCCCCAGGTTGGGGATAACTATCTGATTCAAAAATGACACAGTCCGGAGTCAGAATTCTGGCTTGGAGAATGGTACAAGAGGTGATCTGACCAGTTCTCTTGGAGACCTAAAGCCCAGAAACAGGGAAGAAAGGGAGCTGAGGAAGGAAGCATCAAGCCAGGTGTCATGAGGCTGAGCTGGACCTTGAAAGCTGCGAAAGGCAAGATCAAGGGCAAGCTCGATTGTACAGGGAACTTTCACTTGGTAACCATAAAAGTCTGATTTCAAGAGAAGAAAATGCAAAGAGAGAAAGACAGATGGCTTCGTAAGAGGCTGAAAACCTAACTCGTCCCCAGAGCTGCTACAACAGGAGTTTCTGTGGAGTCCCCCCCTGAAAAGGGGACCTGAGCCCCAAGAGGGAAGCTGAGCCTTAGCAGCTTGGGCCTTTGACATTCCCCTTGCTCAACCCAAGTAAAGTCAACAGGTTCTTTACCAGGGTGTAGTAGGTCAGTAATTTCTAGCATGTATATTCAGCAACTATAATTTCATTCTCTTCCTTGATGATGAAAATTTCTGGGTGCCAACTCCCCTGGGACTCCCGGTGGGGTCTCTGCCCAATATTTTCCAAATTCCAGCTCTGGAAACAAGATCTAACATCTTCCAAACCATTATGCCAGAGAAACAAGAAACTAAGTATCAGGATCGTCTAGCCACAAAAATGTAGCAGAAGTAAAATATCTTTTCCTTTCCCAAATAATGCCGTCTTTGAGTTCTTTTTAATAATAATTGTTTTGTTCTTTCAGTGAACTGATTTCCTCTTCACTCAATGACCGCATGTGCTTTCTTTTTGACTTTCTGACACTGAACTATCTGAGGACTCTCCAAGGATGCACTTCTTTGATGACTTGAACACCTATTTGTATATACCTGTGTCTTTTCAAAATGAAATTCTTACAGGCTCATCTTCAGTAAAGAAATGAACAAAGGCCTCGGAGGTTAGGAAAATGCTCCTAGAAAACGAATGGCATGCCAATGCCAGGTCCACCTCAGCGACTGCCCTCTCTTTCCAAGGCTTGTTCTTCCTTGTAAGGTGATAACCTGACTTTCCCCATCACACAAGATGGACACTCACCTTTGTTCCTCCTAGGACCTCTTATCTTTGTGTTGACTCTATCTGCAGACTTTCAAAGCCTTCAGGTTGCTTTGAGCTTTTTAGCGAAAATAGTGACTTTCATCCAACATCACAAGGTTTTATGATGCAGGTCGTGACCATCTGTGTGGTCCATTGACCATTGACATGTGGCTGGAGCTTCATGTTCTCTGAGGAACATGAAGGGAAAACTTGGAAATTAAAGTAAATTCTTAAGAGTGACTCTGAGTTGCAAAGTGGCCAGAATGCTGCTGGGTCATGGCCAAGTCCGCCCCCACCTCTCCTTCCCTCCAGGTTCAGTTAAATTGTTTGAGTGCCGTGAGTCCTCGATTGACCTCACAGTCGAGTTTGCTAGTCTGGGGCCGACTGACCATATTTCAGCTAACCGAGTCTTCTGCCAACGAAGACTTTGTTATCGTTTTCTCCTTGAGGTCTCGTCCCAATATCAATAGAAAATGTGACAACAATCAGCCTAATGTCCCCACTTGAGAACCACATGGATGTGACACATGTTCCAAAAATACACAAGTGATTTTTGAAACCGGATGGGCTCTTTACCTCCAAGTTAAGAATAACATTCTTGACTCCGAAGGCTGTGTCTTTGGCCAAAACTTTAATCCCCTGGTTTCTCATGGTCTATGATTCTCCTCTAGGCAGGGCTAGAGTGACTGCATCAGAATTCTCGGGACCTGTCAGATCTCTGGGAACTGCCTTTGGGATTCTCTCTGGTAAGAACACCCAATGACCCCATGGGGCAGGGTCAACCCCCGCCACACTGAGAAGCTGGCTCTAGGCTCTGATGATTTCTCCCTTCCTCCACAGAGACCTGCTACCTCCATCATCACCAGGTGTCTTGTGCTGTCATGGTCAGGGATGAGAGCAGGCTCAGGAGTTAGAAGACTTGTGTTCAGTGATTGATCTCTCAGTAGTGTTCTTAGTCCCTCCAAATCCTGGATTTCTCAGTATGTAAAATTCATACCGAATCACATGAGTATAAATTACAGCCCAGCACAGAGTTTGGCATGTGGTAGCCTCAATAATTGCTTATTTCTGTCCTTCCTAATTTGTCAGAGAGACAGCAAGAGCCGCCATCTATTGGAGAGGAGCTAGAAGAGCGGGAACTGAGGCAAGCCACGGCAGAGCTCGGGAAAGGGATTTGATTTAGGAGGACTGTGGACTGGGGAGATGAAAAAGAGGAATAAGGTGTAACAGTTCCCCCTAAAGCTCCTGTTACACAGCAGGAGGGAGAAATGATTGAGGGGACTGAATCCTTAGGGAGTGCAGAAGATGGCACGCAGAACAGTTCCTATCAGAATTGCAGTCCGTTGAGGGGAGCCTAGAGAAAGGTTGGCGTTTGCTTTCATCCCCGAGCATGTCCCTTTGCTGCAGCTGCTGGTAATGATGCTGATGCCCTGTCTCCCCCTCCTCTTGCTCCTCCCCTTACCCACCTTTTCTTCCTCTTCTTCCTGCCTCTCCCATTCCTTCTCCACATGACCACCACCACCATCACCCTCGCATAACAAGGTCGACTGAGCAACATTTTCAGGGGACTCTCACGTGCCAAGAGCCAGGCTAAGGGCCTAACACAGACCTTCAATGCTCACAGCAACCTGCAAGGTAAGTGATACGATCCTCTCCTTTCAGTGATCAGTCTCATAATAAGGATTCCAGGATTCAAACCCCGACACTTTCCTTATTAACCACTAGACTACCATAATTTTAACCACATTTTTCATTAAAATTTTAACTATAATTTTTTTAAGATTTTTATTTATTTATTCATACAAGTATTGGGTACAGTCAGAAGCGCGGGAGGGTGAGAGAATTCACCAGAGCCAGAGCAGGGAGCAGAACAGGCAGAAGGACTTAAGTACACTGCTGAGGGGAGCAGTGGGCACGGCAGGAGAGGTCTGCGCGCCATGTGGGACCCTCCTCCGATGGCCGGGGAGCAGCCGGGGATCGAACCAGCGCGGCAGAGGCTGCGGGCAGCTTCGCAACCCAGCGCTCAACCGCTGCGCCACCAGGGAGGCCCTAACTATAATTTTTAATGAAAAGTCGTGGATGAGTTTAGGAAATTCTGGGAAGAACATTAGCCTTCAATATAGTGGTAGCTGGACGAGGCCATTCTAAAAGCAATACAGAGATACTGTGTTTCCTGTGAACCCCAGAAAACGAGGGTTCCCCTGTTAAGTTCTTTATGCTTGGAATTTGAATATATAGAAACTTCTATAGGGCAGTTGGAGATCCTCAAGGCAGCACTCTAAGATATACAAAAGTCAAATGCTAAAGCATTTAAGGCAGCTATGAGTCAACAGGGGGAAACAATTCACACAGATGTCCAAGTGAACTTAAAGGTTAAAAAGAAATACTTGGGCAGAGGAGGGTGCAGGTGGTTCCAAGAGAGGAGGAAGGTTTGTCTTGGGGATGGAGGGTGCATTCCTGTAAGTTTGGGACTTTTCCTAAGGAGCAGATAACCACCCCTTGCATGGCTGATTCGTCTCTTCTGCCCAAACTGTCTTCCTTGCTTCTGGAAGGAGTTGGTTCCTAGAAACTCAATCACTTTAGCAGGTCTCCTAAAGATAAGACCTGGACTGTTCCAGAAATGGTTCTGCCATTTTGGAATCTAATAATAGATTCACGGGCAACCTCAAACCTGGTCTTCCAAGTTATACCATCCCATAGTTGGCTACAAACCATAAAATAAGACAATTGGTGTTTCAGCGTGGACTTTATACAGTAGTAAACACCTGAGCAAAACTGCGAAAATGAGCTGTGTGTTGGGTGAGGATTCATGTGGGCAGAGTGGCCAACAACTGACATCTGGAAGTTTCACAAAACCATAAATATGTTCATTATTAAACTAAGATTGCTTCCCCACTCAAAAACTGGAAAATGAGATTTCCTTTGAAACTTAAGAAATTGAAGTTAGGGATCTATTTAATTCTTATAAACATATCAAACACATGAGAACAAAATAAAATGGTACATAGAATCTTGGTCATATATAAAAATTATGAGAAAAAGATAAGTTCAACTTCACTAAAAATATCATAATATTTCAAATTTGAAGTGGTTTTCTGTTGTATTAGCATTCCTGGCACTAACCAAAAGATATTTTTTCTGGAATCACCCCCACGTATCTCTGATATAACATAAACACCTTCAATTATTATTCATTCCAGAAATATCTGTCAACCTCCCACTTTATATTCCATGCTAGGCACCATAGATACAACATTAAATTCAATTTACTTGAAGTAAATTAAATATTACATTTAAGCAGATTGGGAAAAATTAAAGACACATAATATAATCATTAAAGTAACCACTAATAATGATGTGGCGAAGCATAACCAGAAGCCAATAACAAATTAAGGTGGAGTACTAGAGAAAACCAACTAACACAATGTGACCTTTGACCTTTGACCTAGATCTCAAAGCACAGGTATTTGTACAGGTAGAGCAAGAACAGGCAGAGCAAGGGGGAGATCCCTGGAGGCAGAGGTATCGGCAAGCACACAGGGAAGAGGTCAGGAAGGGCACGCAGTGAATCTAGGAAATTAACAAATGGAATGAGGACACAGACAATGTTATAAAACCTGGTTTGGGGCCACCCTTGTCTCTTCTAAGTAGCGTGAAAATAATTATAAAGGGAAAGAAGAGCTCCCGGAGGCTCTTCTATAAGCAAGTGGCATGACAGGTGTGATGGGCATTAATAAGGTTCACCAAATTGTTTCCAGCTCTTTCCAAGCATGTGGTAGGCTTCATTTCACAGCCACTTATGAAATGAATCGTGGTCATGTGACCACTTTGGCCAAGGAAATGTGAGCAGAAGAAGCATGTGTCACATCCAGGTGAGAACTGGTAGAGCAGTTTTTGGTTTGCACATTCGCTTTCCTTCTGAGATGGTCAGAGAAGGACAGTTAAGTGGGAATTCCAGGAGGTTCCTGAGTGGCTATGATAGTCCCCACTCCTCTTTCACCTCCCCACTGCCTGTGATGAGGATGTAACGTAAATGAAGAAAAAAAGTCCTGTTACTGTTAGCCCTACAAATGTGGGGACTGTTTGTAACTGCCCCCACCACCCCAACCTGTCCTTTCTAAAACAACGTGCAGTTGTAAATGGAACTGGGACAATAACAGCAGATGGACCTCAGAGGAGAGAACTTGCAGGGGATGCCCTAGAAGGCTGCCGTCATCCACAGAGGACAAGTGCAGGCACTGAAGCAGGAACCCTGAGCTTAGAAAAGCAGAGAAAGAATCTGGAACTGTAATGGCAAGAACAGACATGAGTTGATAATGACTCTGAGCTGCTAAAAGAACATTCTATTTGTTTTAGAGGTGTTGAAAAGAGAAGGTTCTTGAAAGAAAAGGGGTGGCTAGGTGGGGAGATGCAGTACAAAGATTAAAGAGGCACTTGTCAGGGTGCATCCCATCAAAAACAGAGGCATGTCCCTCTACAACAAAAATTATGGAAAGAAAATGAATTTCGAAAAAAAGTAGACCTGGGTATGAATCCTCAGGGAATTTGTCAAGCCATTCCATTCATTCATTCAGCACACTGAGAACAACTTCATTCAATTAAAAACAGTATAGAACACCCAAAAGGCCCCATCCTAACTCAATTGCAGGGAAGCAACCTATACATGGAAGCAGATTCAGACAGGAAGTTGTGGTTATGAAGAGAACAGAAATAGCATCCCAAGGCAACCCCTTGATTTTGTTCAAAATCCTTACCTGACATCAACAGTTGAAAGTAAAGTTCTCTGTGTCCTTCACACACATAAAAAGAGTCCCTCCCTTCTCTTTGTTTTATCACATTTAAAGACCCACCTGTGAAAAATCACCTCTCTTCACCCTGGACAATGTTTTTAGAAATCAAGAATTTTGGTTCACCGGCACCACCTAGTGAGCACAGGGAACATCCTACTAAAGGAAGGTGTGTGTCCAAGTGGGGGAGATGAGCACTGGGAGGTTGTTCCTGGCTTTTAGACAAGGCACTTCGCAAAGATTAGCATGTGTGTAAATCACCTGGAGACCGTGGTAAGCGTGGGGTCTGAACTCAGGGGCTGGGTCATGGTTGAGAATGTGCATCTGTCCATTTCCCCAGGATGCCAAAGCTGCTGTTCCCAGGGATGCCAGGCACAAGGCTCTAGGCGCCACGGTGGTCCACTGAGCTGAGGGGACCCTGCAGGGTGTGCTTGATCCTTGACCCTTTACCACTGAGCTGGTGAGGGCATCTCTACCTCTTGCCACCATCTCTCATCAGGTCCACTTTATTTTCATTAATGTAACTTATACAATTTGGAATTAGATTCCAAATACGTGGTGACTTATGAAGATCCTGGACAAAGCACTTTCAATGGATTACTGGATTCCTACAACTTCTTGAGGAAGTACTATGATTGTGCCAATTTTCCAAAAGGGAAGACCCCAGCCCAGACAAGTTAGATAACACTAGGAAGGAGGAAAAGGACTTAAAATCCAGAGTCTACCCTGGGGACCAATGTCTTCACCGCTCCCTCCTCCTTCTTGTATTTGCTATATTTACATTGTAAGTTTCTTTCCTGCTCTGTGAAGCCATCAGAAGTGACTTGCAGGTGACTGTGGCCGCCCATTCCAAATCTGATAAAGCCTGGTCTTCTGTCAAAAGGACTTGGTTTTAGGAAATGGCAATTAAAATTCAAATTAAGAAATCTTTTAGAAATCAACAACATGAAAAAGCACTCAACACTAGCACTGAGGGATTTTTTTCCCAGGAAATAATGTCAGTTCATGTAAGATTACCACATGCCTCTCAGAATCCTTGGGCACTGTCCTTTCACCAACAGAGTCCTGAAATTCTGTCTAACAAGAATGGCAGGACAAGACTCCCTAAGAACCCCTCCAATCAGTGGGGAGAGGCTCCCACAAACCACACGGCAACATCTAAGGTCTGGCACACACATGTCAATAGAGTTTACGAGCCATCTTCTTCTATTATTCTAGTAAGAGAGCACCCTAATCAATGCAGCTGAAATATGCATATAAAACAGTGATTTTTTTCAAACTTGATTGGACATGGGAATCTCTAAGGCGCTTTTAAACACATTAATACCAGACTCCTACCACTGGAGATTCTGCTTGGGATGGACTGGCTATCAAGAGTTTTAGAGGCTCCTTTGGAGATTCTAATGCAAAACAGCAAACAACCACTGGCATAAAAAAAAAAAAAAAAGAGAGAGAAGACTTTAATACTCTGCCGTGAAAAAGAGTGGATGTGACTTCATCTATTTACTGTCCAGCTTCGCCTACCTAGCTAACTAAAAAGGTCTAACAAGCTAAGGGACCTCATTCTAACTGCAAGCGTCTCCACACTCAGAGCCCAGCCACATGCATCACACCTGGTGTTTGGAAAGCAGCTACTGCAGATAGCAGCACTGCTCCCCAGCAGGGGTTCCCATCTTGAACACCGAATTCAGGTGTTGAATCCAGGTGTGAACTTGGAGGGGAAGATGCATTAACCTTTCCTGAAAGTTTTGCATTTCCTCCAGTTAAGCGTATGGGCACCAAACCACAGCCCTAAGCTGTATTGGCAGCGCTTAAGAGTTACACTCATGTGTATTTTCAAGTCACATTTCAGATTGGGCGGTTGTCTCAAAAATCCATTTATGGTCATCACTACTTCGGGATTACAGTGTTTAATAGATGTGCTGTTGGAGCTAGGTACTTAATGCAATAATAATGATGCAGGCAACTCACATAATTCAACAATGAAAAAACAAACAACCCAATTAATAAATGGGCAGCAGATCTGAACAGACAACTCACCAAAGAGGACATCCTGAAGGCAAACAGATACATGGAAAAATGTTCATCACCACTTTTAATAAGGGAGGTGCAGGTTAAAACCTCAATGAGGTATCTCACACCTGTGATAATGGCACATATAAAAAAAAGAAAAACAAGTCCTGGAGAAGATGTGGAGAAGGAGGACCCTCTTACCCTGTTGGTGGCCTGGTAAACTGGTACTGGTGTGCCCACGGTGGGAAGTGATGTGGACTAACACTGAAAAAATAAAACTAAACCAATAAAACCCCAACAACTAAAACTTGAAAAAAAAAAACTAAACTAAAAAGACCATATGATGCAGCAATCCTACTCCTATTAAACACCAGGCATGCAATCAAAGATGTGAAACCATCAACTCAAACACACACACAACAACAACAGCAACAACCACCAATATGCTCTTAAAAAAAAAAAACCACCTCTAGGTTCTAGGTTGCTTGCAGCACTGTTTACATTCACCAGGTTTGGAGGCAACCTATATGCCCAGGATGACAACTGGCTAAGGAAAAGCTGGTGTAGCCACACGTGGGTATTACTCAGCGCTAAGGCAAAACTCAGCTGCTGACTGTGCCATGGAAGAATTCGAGGGAAGGACGGTGGTGAAGCGGGTCAGAATGACAAAGACAAAGGTTGGACGTGAACGCGGAGGATGATGGGACAAGGCGAAATACTGAAGAAAAAAGAACTAGGAGTCATTAGTTGATGGAGTAGAGATTAAGAGGGCATAGGGGGTGGAAGGGGCAGAGAATGACGCAGGCAGGTTACCACACCAGGTCGTTCGTGCTTGGATAACTGCGTTCAGGCAAAGAAGCGATTCTGCTACTGTGTTTGTGTATTTAGTGATATGAGGATGAGAAGGGGTCCGACTGCCTCCTCCGCGCCCTGTGGGTGGTGGCCCCAAGGGAAGGTCCCCATCAGCGGTGCTCGGCGCCCAGGGCCACCTGCGAGCAGGGCGCGCTGGCGAGAGACCCGGGGCAGAGTCAGCTCCTGCTCTCCCGTGCGCGTCCGCAGATAAGGTGGAGCTGCAAAGCCAGGGCCAGGCAGCGGAGAATAGGATGGGCTTTCTTTCTCTCCTCAGCTGCCTCCTGCTCTTTGGCATTTCACAGTGCCGGGGCTGCCAGGCTGGTAACTCGAGCCTCCAAATTAATCAAAACACACAGCGCGCAGTTCAAGCCCCAGCAGACAGCCCCGGAGCCAAACTCTCCTCTGGTGACCCCGGGCCCCACACCCCGGCCCCGCCCGCCTCCCCGCGCCCCGCCCTGGTCCTGCTTCCTCCACCACCCCCCTCCCAGGCAGGTGCCCCGTGCCCGGGGTCGCTGCCCTCGGGGGTCGTGGGCGCCTTACCTGCGGGCCTCGCCCACCCGCGCGGGCGCACCTCGGGGCTCCGCAGCCCGGCACCGGCACTTCACCGTCTTCCCACCGCCGAGTCTGGCGGGTGCAAGTTGCAGGCGGGCGGGGAGGGGTGTCACCGCTGGCCACTCCCCCACTGCGCCCCGCCGCCTCCCCAGCGCACGCGCCGCTGGACGGGGTGGACTGAGAGCCGCTACTCCCTGCGCGCCCACCATGAGCCCCGGGGCCCCGCTGCTGCCACCCGTGCCGCCGCTCCTGCTGCTGCTCCTGCTGCTGCTCCTGGAGGCCGCGCCCCGAGAGGGCAAGGTGAGTGCCTGGCCGCGCGCCCCTGCCCGCGCCCTGGGACCTTCGTGTCCTGGTGGCTGCGCGGCCTCGGGCTCCGCGCAGGACAGAAGCAAGTGGGGATGCCCGGGGTGGGGTGGGGGTCAGTGAATGCGGGGTTCAAGGGAGCCTGTCCAGTTTCCCAGCAGCCAGGTAGGAGGGAGGTAGAGGATACATAGGTAGGTAGGTAGGTAGGTAGGTAGGTAGGTAGGTAGGTAGGTAGATAGACAGACAGACAGACAGACAGACAGACAGACAGACAGACAGACAGACAGACAGATAGATAGATAGATAGATAGATAGATAGATAGATAGATAGATAGATAGATAGATAGATAGACAGATAGATAGATAGATAGACAGAGGCAAGTAGGCAGGCAGATACATAACGTAGGTAGGCAGGTGGGTAGGTAGAAAATAGATAAGTAGGAGAGAGAGAATGATTCCTCAGAGGTGAATGCTTGGGGACAGACACAGACAGACAGATCAGCGATGCCACCTTGGTGAGTCAGAGCAGGCCGGGTGGCCTGGCAGGCGAGAGGACTGACTGGAGTGCAAACCTGTGCCAGAGCCCCAGCCCTGCCACCTCGCTCTGAACTCTGACCTCCCGGGCTGGGTTTCCTCCTTGTCAAAACTTGCCTTTCAGGGTTCCTTAGGAATTCTTGGGGAAAACAAATGCCATCGCTAAAAACTTAATAGCACCTTAGATTAAAAAAAAAAAAAAAAGCAACTCGTGTTTGGATGAATTAAGCAACCTGTTTCTTTGATTTCTACATGGAATCAGGGGGATCCTGGATTCATTTAAATCTGTTAAATCCCATATCTCATACCTTACCACCGGATGTTCTCAAAACTGTTACCATGTCTAGAGTTGCCTTGCTTGATTTTAACCAGTGCAAATGAAATTTAAATTTTCATATGCCTTCTGTGACTTTTTTACACTGAAAAGTTAATTTGGAGTGCTGGCATAGTTTAAATTTCATTTCTGGTTGAGCTGGTGTTTCACAAATTTCATGAAAAGATTTTTGGAACCTATGGCCATGTATAATCTAAGCCTTTCCATTTAAACTTTAAATGAAGCCTTCCAGGTAGAGCTAGAATATTCTTTAATTACCTCCACACCTCCCCTCCCCTGTCTAAACAAAAGCATCCACTTTCATTTCTTCATGTCTCTTTTCAGACACCTTCATGTATTTCCATATACATATGGACCCATAAGAAATTTGTGGGTTTTGTTTTAACATAAATGTTACCATGCTGGTAATATCCACATCTACCTTACAGATCTGTGGATGTCAGTATTTAAGATAGATGCACCCCTTTTTGCCCTGTGACACAGTTTTCCATATAAGAATCTGCCAAAGTGAATGAAGCTAGTCCCCTAATGATTTACATGTAGATTATTTAGTGGGTTTTTTTTTTTTTTTTTTTTTTTTTTTTTTTTTACGTTCTAAAGGATATTGTAATCCTTAAGTCTCTTCATATAGCTGATTCTCACAAAAATGCACTTTGCATGTACTGGGAATAACCAGCCCAAGTAGTTCAGCACTCTAGGAATGATGGGTAAAGCTGGTCCAGCAGTGCGGATTGTCTGCTGGCTTTAACCTAAGAGCAAATAAACCCAACAAGAAAATACCTAAGGGAACCTGTAATTAAATCAATTTTCAGTTATAATGTGTTATTCCCCTATTACTTTTCACATGTAAAAATTTCCATCTTGAGTTTGACCAAATCTTTATGACTTCTTGCTGGTGTTATAATTAGTCCATTTATATTGTTAGTAGTAGTAGCAGCAGAAGTAGTTGTCGTTGTTGTCATCACAATAGATCTTTGTTAAAACCATTCAAGAGTATCACTTCCCTTATATCTGCTGAATTATAACTTAGCCTCATTAGAAACTTATCAAGTAAGTCTTTCTCTTTTTTTTTTAAAGATTTATTTATTTATGCATACAAGAGCTGGGGTACAGGCCAGAGGTGTGGAGGGTGAGAAGATTCACCAGAGACAGAGTGAGGATCAGAACAGGCAGATCCACTGAAATACACTGCTGAGGGGCGCAGCAGGCAAGACAGGAGAGGTCTGCTGCACCATGTGGGTTTCTCCCTGGCCGAGGATAGAACTCATGCTGCAGAGGCTGCAGACAGCTTCACAAGCTGTGTCTTAACCCCTTGCACCCCCAGGGAGGCCCCGGGTCTTCATCTTGTAGAGAAATAAAGTCACAACAACTTAAGTGATAATAGTCCACATAGTGCTAACACAGGGTAACTGTGACCTTGGCAAGGCACTTGATCTCTCTTTGACTCAGCTTTACCTGTAAAATAAGTGAATTGAAACCCATAGTGAGGCCAGCAGTTGAGGTGATGAGTGATGCCCTGGGGTAGCAGACAGGGCCAACGAATTGATAGTCTAGAATTGAGTCCTGGGGATGCCAGATCCCTGCTTGTGTTTTGTTAAAGAGAAAAACTGGGAATCTATTTTCCATTAATAAATCTCTCAAATTCTACATGTAATCAAATAAGTCGGTGAACACAGGTCCAAATCACGTATAAGCGACAGCTAAATTTAGTTTCTGGGACATCATGTTTGTCATCTTTGTGCTGCACTAGTAAAGGAAATATTTTGCTTTAAATTTCAGTAATTTTAGCAGTTCTCAAAACAGGGAGATAGCAGTGTTGATGCACATTCCAAGTTCAGACAGGGTGGGACTGTCCACCCACACAATTTGTTCTGAAGGACCCAGACTGAAATCTGTCTGGTGCTCTGCTGCAGGCTCAGGCATCTGGTTCCACGCATGGTTGTTTAATGGAGCCCCCAGGTTTTATGGCTGTTCCAAAACACCAACTGGAGATGGGGAGGCACTTCCCTGCTGCCACACACAGAGGTGGAACTAGAGAGAGTGCCTTCGCTGACATCTGGCGAAAGTGAGGTTCGTGGTTTGAGATACCCTGGTTTATCCTTCCCTTTTTTTTTTTTTTTGGCCTTAAAATTCCAGACAGAGAAAAAAATATGGCAAGTGAATATCAGGAACTGAGTAACAGCTGCATTTAGGGAGGATGCTTTCTCAACTGATTTCATTCTTAAATAAAAACATTGAGATAAGAAATATTCCAAACAAAAAGTAATGTAACAGACATCACTTTTTCTATCCCTGAGATCAGGCAAGTATTGAGAAGCTTTGACTTGATGGCTCTCAGAGTTCACCTTTTAGGAAAAACAATACGTAATACAGAGCCATACACATTCACTATCCCCTCTCCATCCCAGGAGGTTTGTGTATATCATCCCCATGCATGGTTTTATATTTGTCTGACGTTGTATATGTGTATATGTACAAGTCTACATAAAAAATAAATATTACTGTTTTGTGGTCTTTCAAATGGAATAAGTGGCTCCATATTATGCATACCTACTGGAGCTTGTATCACTGAGTATGTTCTTGGACTTTATCCATGTTTGTGCATATAGCTGTAGGTTCATTTATATACTTATAGCTCTGATAGCTGTAGCATAGTATCTAGGCTATATAAACACATCTCAAATTATTTCTCCATCCCTCTAAACACAGTGAGTTTATTTCCCTGCTTTCATTTTACAAAATGACAGTAATGTCTTTGGAGGATAACTAGATTTTGAATTCCTGAGTGGAATTCAAAGAAGGTTTCTAGAGAAAGCATATTTTAAATGTTATTTAGGGCTATCAAATGAACTCCACAAAGGTAATATTATTAATGCACTGGTGTATCTAGCTTCCTAGATTCTCAGCAAAACTTGATGTTCTCGATGTTAATGGGTGTGAAGTAGGATCTTGTTTTGATTTGTGAGTTTGTGAATCTTCGCATATTTTAATGGGCATTTGTATTTCCCTCAAGGAACTGTGAGAGCAAATGTTTGATTATCTATTATGAACTTTGCCTTTTTGCTGCTGGTGAATTAGGAATTACTTATATATTTGAATACTGAAAGTTTGTCATTTAAATGTGCAACCGATATTTCATTTCAATCGTTAGTTCGTGTTCCCTTTGGTATCAAATGAGGTATCAAAGTATAGCTTTTGATATACTTTGAGGTATCAAAGTATAGCTTTTCCTCACTGTAACCTGAAACATTCATCTTTTCTTTGATATTTTACATTTTGACCTTATTAAGAAATCCTTTCTTCTCTGAGGTTTATAAAATGATCTACATATTTTTAAATATTTTTACAGTTTAGCTGTTTTATGTCTGAGACTCTTAATCCTGGAACTGTTTTCTCCTTATTGAATATGACTTTATCTTCTTCCATAGAGATACAATTTGTCCCAACAGAATTTATTGAATAGTTTATTCTTTTATTGTCACATATGCAAACATGAGCATACATGTTTGTATACATATATATTAATATGTCTATTTATATAAGACTTTAATTTCTTACAGTGTTTAAATGTATTCTGTTTCTTTAATTTCTAAATATTTGATGTTTTTAGTGTTAATGTAACTGACAGTTTTTCAATTTGATAGTATAAATATTAAAGATACAGTAAAACATAGTTGAATTTCATATGACTTTGATCAAACAATTTTGAACAGTTCAAATGCATTTAAGGCTACAAAAATTTTCCCTAAATACTGCTTTGGCTGTATCACATACATTTTAATAACATTACATTCAAAAATTCTTCCTTGTTGAGTTTTTGTCCCAGAGGCTATCAAACTGTTTGGTTATTAATTTCCAAATACAGATTTTTCTAGTCTTCTTTCTGTTATTAAATTGTGGGGATGATATTCTGACTTCAAAGATTTCTGTGATTTTCAATTAGCTCTACGTTTTTGATCATGTTATTAAAATTATAATGTATGCATATGGGTTTTTTAATATATTCTATTTAGTGTATATTTAATCCAAGATTCTACATTTTTCCTCAATTATCGAAAATTCTCAGACACTCAATTTTTACATTTCTCCTTCCCAACTCTGTACTCCTGGCATTTTGAGACTATATGCT